TTATTTGATTCCTTAAACTCATTTGCCCGCGGTCGCCAGTGCCCCCCTTCAATTTTTTTTTCTGTAACTTTACTCTAGTTCAACTTTTTATTCACATTTTTTAAATTTTGATAACCAGCTGGTTCCTTATACATATTCATTTTCTCATGATATAATTATTGTAAATGACGCTATGGGGTTTGGCAAACTGACATTATAGACTGCAGTTTTTAATGTTAGTTTTTAATGCAACTTTTTTCATATTTTTATTTTTTTTGATTTTCAAAATGCATTTGCCTGCGGGTGCCCATGTCCCCCTTTCAATTTTTATTTTTGAATATGAATCCCAGTTGATTTTTTTTTGATTAATAACTTTCATTTGCGCGTGCGTCAATTTTTGTATTTAAATTACTATTTTTGTCATATTTTGGCGAATGAAGTGCTGAATTTAGTATTGCAATTTAAATAGGTTAGGTTAGTAGATAAGATATTAAGAATAAGTCAATATTTCTTGGCTCCAACTTTGAAGGCAAACAAAAATCTATCTACGTGCTCACCTCTAGAATAAAAAGTGTTTAAGGGAGTTTATTTTTTAATTTTGTTCAGGAGGACATTATGTTGACATTTTTCTTACGTGTGCCTAAACATATAGCAAATTTTAAGCTTAGCAGATCAGATTTAGCTTTGTGAGTTTAAAAATTAGAGCGAATTAACGGCTTTTTAAAATTTAAAGCCCTTCGTATCTCAGGATTTTTATTGTAATTTAATTTTAAAGGGAGTTATGAGTGTTTTAAAATTGTAAACTATTTGTACTTCATAAATACTCATCACTTGCTTTAAATTTAAAATATAGTAAAAAGTCTCTGAGATGCCTTATAAAAAATTTTCACTCCAACTAATGGAGCTAAATGTAATTTTTTGAGAGTACAATTTGCTGTGTTTTGCACTTCTTAAACAGAAACAACAAAATTAGTCTGTGTTAAGTTTGCTTAACAAAAAAATATTCTGATAATAATATAAAAAACTAGTCTTCCAACATAGGGTTATCCAAATCAAATGGCTGGTGAGCTTGTGGAGTAATTTGGTCTGAAACAAAATAGACAATTATTAACATAATATTTGAGTATTATAACTTTTAAAATCAACCTACTATCAACAAGAGCATCGTTTATGCCTAGCGCAACTATTTTGTAGACCTCTTCCTCCACTGACTAATCATTGATATCTGACTGTTCAACTTAAATAAAATTAAATTGTGATTGAGTAAGTGAATATTTTTATTATTTGTTCATAAATAATTTAAATAATTTTTATTTTTTTTATTTTTTAGAATATTTTACAATGCGGTTACAATAAGCATATGAGCGTAAAATAATAAATTACAATACATAAGTACTTGGGTGGAGAAACCACCCAAGGACGACACTCCTACATTTTACTTATAGAAATATTCTAAAGCATACTTTCGTTTTGAGGTAGGTCAAGTGGCTCATTTCGGTCTCCATTATTTGCTAATCATACAAACAAAAAAGTTATATTTAGTTGATACACAATATATTTTTTACCACATTCTATTTCTATATATTTACCTTGAATTTGGATAGGCGCCTCAATGTTATTTATATTTCCTATATTATTGATATTTAGATTATAGTAACTGGAGTATACAATGTATTGTTAACTTTAATGTATAGTT